TCTTGCTTTGTCACCCAGGCTGAAGTGCAGTGGCACCATCTCGGCTCACTGCAACCTCTGTCACCCAGGTTCAAGCGATTCTCCTGCCTCAGCCTTCTGCGTAGCTGGGACTTCAGGTGCACACCACTATGCCCAGCTCATTTTTTATTTTTAGTAGAGATGGGGGTGTTGACCAGGCTGGTCTTGAACTTCTGATCTCATGATCCACCCCACCGCCCCCCCACCTCGGCATCCCAAAGTGCTGTGATTACAGGCCTGAGCCACTGCACCCAGCCCACAGGTGCACTTTTAATGTTATGTACTCAACTGTTTTTTAGGATTTCCAGAATATTCTATAACTTATACCCCATAGTTTATTTAAATATTGTCAAACTGAACATTTTCTTCCGATATCTGTATTAAGAAAACTGCAAGGGGTGACTTTGTCACACTTATGTGAGAATTTCTGTAGAGTAGGGTTCTACAAGGGGAATTGCTGGGTCAAAATGTTAAAGTAGGTAGCTAGTTAGATGTGAGCAGGAGAGGAGACGGCTCCCCAATCCACACACACCAGGAGTATTGGGTGACCACCAAATGACGGTCAGGCAGTTGTTAACTATTTCTCTAATGTTCACGTAGCCAGAGAAAGGCAGGCTCCTAATAGAAAACAGCTGAAACTGATCAGCAGCTTCCCAATAAGATCTCAGGAGTGGGAATATGCAATCCAAGTTCCCAAAAATATGCCAACATATAAAATATGCCAACATATAAAACTTCAAGTCAGGCTGGGGGCGGTGGCTCATGCCTGTAATCCAAGCACTATGGGAGGCCGAGGTGGGTGGATCATCTGAGGTCAGGAGATCAAGACCAGCCTGGCCAACATGGTGAAACCCGGTCTCTACTAAAAAAAAAATACAAAAATTGGCTAGGCCTGGTGGCTCACACCTTTTAATCCAAGCACTTTGGGATGCCTAGGCAGGCAGATCACTCGAGGTCGGGAGCTCCAGACCAGCCTGACAAACACGGTGAACACCCACCCCCGGCCTCCCCTCCCCCACCCCCCACCCCCCGTCTCTACTAAAACTACAAAATTTGCTGGCCATGATGGCACATTCCTGTAATCCCAGCTACTCAGGAGGCTGAGGCAGGAGAATTGCTTGAACCCAGGAGGTGGAGACTGCAGTGAGCCA